AAATGGCAACACATTACCGGAGGTGATCGACAAGCAGATGCAGGCATTGTTCGGCAAGATGTACCATGACGAGCTCTCACTCAGGGAGATGTTGGAGCTGATGCGGCAGTATAAGTCATCACGCAACCCCGAGGAGCAAGAACTTTTCGCTTGTATGGTGCATGGTCTCATCGATGAGTACCACTGCTACCACGAATACCCACTTGATGCCCTCACAAAGACCGCGGTCATGTTTGGTGGTATTATCAATTTCCGTTTGGTTGATGGAATCACGCTCAAAGTTGGACTCGGCATGATTCTGGAGGCCGTCAGGGAGCACGAAATCCACAACCCCATGTTCAAATTCGGTGTAGAGGCGATTGAACAGCTCATGGATCGTCTCTCTGAATGGGCTGGCTTCTGCCATCTGTTACTTCAAATCCCAACCTTGCAAGGCACACCAATTTTCCAGAAAGCCGAGGAGGTTCTTCGAGCCCAAGGCAAGGAAATTGCTGATGGAGAGGCCGAAAAATGGAATATCCGTCCGTCTCCCTTGCCCAATGGTGATAGTGATGATCGCTCTGTCGATGGTAGTTCCTTCAAATTCCGCTCCGTTTCAGTGGACCCGCCACTGCGGTCAGAGCTTTATCAGGACCCAAGTGAGGACACGCAGGACAAGATCTTGTTCGTACTGAACAACGTATCTGAACAAAACATCGAGGAAAAATTACGGGATTTGCGTGAAGTATTGAGTGACCAACATCACCAATGGTTTGCGGCATATCTGGTGGAAGAGCGCGCCAAGTTACAACCCAACTTCCAGAAGCTCTACCTTGATCTCCTTGATCGAATTGGAGATAGGATTCTCTGGGCGGAAGTCCTTCGAGAGACCTATGTCAGTGTCTCCAAGCTGTTGAACTCCGACGCTACCGTCAGCTCCTCTACCGAAAGAGGCCATCTCAAAAACCTCGCTGCCTGGCTTGGCTCGTTGACAATCGCCAAAGACAAGCCGATCAAACACAAGAACATTTACTTCAAGGGTTTGCTTTTGGAAGGCTACGATGCTCAGCGCCTCGGGGTCGCAATCCCATTCACTTGCAAGGTTCTTGTCCAAGCTGCCAAATCCACCGTATTCAAGCCCCCCAATCCGTGGCTGATGGATATTCTGGGGCTTTTACTGGAGCTCTATCACTTCGCTGAGTTGAAACTCAACAACAAGTTTGAGATCGAGGTGTTATGCAAAGAAATTGCTCTTGATCATAAGAAAGTTGAGCCCGCTGTCATTATCAGAGACCGCACTTCCCAGAGCGATGAAGTTCTACCAGCGACTGCGATTCCAGAAGGACTTGAAGCTTTCGAAGAAATGGGCCTTACTTCCATCAACCAGGGAATCCGCAATGAACGGTTATCACCTGCTGCCATCATGTCAACCTTGCCAAGCCTCGAAAAGATCCTTGTTCTACCTCCATCGGCGAACAGCATGGTGGACGCTACTGTGTTGAGAACAATTGTCACTTCTGCAGTGGAGCGTGCCATTGCTGAAATCATTACCCCCGTTGTGGAGCGCTCGGTCACCATTGCCTCCATCTCTACTGTCCAGCTTGTCTCAAAGGACTTTGCCATGGAGCCCGACGAGGAGAAGGTGCGACATGCCGCCGGCATCATGGCTCGACAACTTGCTGGAAGCCTCGCCCTGGTCACTTGCAAAGAGCCATTGAAGGTCAGCATGACCAATTACATCCGAATGATCCAACAAGAGGTCTTGGATCAGCCTATGCCTGAAGGGTTGATCCTGATGTGTGTTAATGATAATCTGGATGCTGCTTGCGGTATTGTTGAGAAGGCCGCTGAAGAGAAGTCGCTTCCTGAAATTGAGAAGATGGTCGAACCCCAGTTGGAGGCGCGCCGTCGTCATCTTGCCACTCGGCCCAATGAAGCCTTCATGGATCCTTCAATGAATCGTTGGGGTTTCTACATTCCAGAGCCTTATCGCCAAACCCCTGGTGGTCTCAACAAGGAACAACTGGCCATCTATGAAGAGTTTGCCCGCCAATCGCGAGGCACCACAGCCGCTGTTCACCCTCAGAATGTTTCGGCTGATTCTGGCCGTCAACTTCCTGATGTACTCCAGGAATCGTACCCGGCTATCCCCAACCTTTCTACGCCCGCTGAGCAGCCTGCTGTCCCTCACCGGACACCCCAGGCGCAGGCTGTTTCACAAATCAGCGGTGTACACACCAATGGTTTCATCGACACCCAAAATCCGCGAGAGAAAGTCGAGTCTCTCATCGCTGGACTGCAACAAGCCACTCGCGAGGCCTCAGAGGAACGTGTCAAAGACCTTGGCCGGGATAGTGCTGTTCTTCAAGAGTACAATACGGCTTTGCGCACCATTTTGGCCTCACCAAATGGCGAAGAGCTGGCACGATTAACCTCTCTGAAGGTTTGCACCACTCTGTACTCGCAGCCATCGGGCGCCTTGGAGCTCGAAGTTCTTGTGCACCTACTTGCCAAGCTTTGCGATATGTCTACGCTGATTGCACGCTACACATGGGCGCTCTTGGCGGAGATTGATGATGAACACATGTTCAACATCCCCGTCACTGTTGCCCTAATTGATGCTGGTCTCTTAGATATCCGTCGTGTTGACATGGTGCTGAGTCGTCTTATTGCCCAGAAGGACGTTCGCGCATTGGAACTACTTGATAATTTGATGAGCCGTGTGCTTCTCAACGATGAGCCAGCAGCTCTTAGATCAGACTTCTCTGGCAGCCTCGAAGCAATGAGCCAATGGCTTGTTGAGGATGCAAATGTGGCCCCTGCCTTGGAAATCGTCCGCAAGCTGCGTGACGGTGGCATTCCCGAAGTCGTCAATCCACTTTTGACTGATCCTGCCAGGTCTAAGCGAGACCAGATGGAGTACATTTTCAGCGAATGGATTGGCATTTACAAAGCTTCCGGTGCCACTGATCGGACATACCATTCCTTCCTCCAGGATATGCACAATCGGCAGGTCATGAACAACCCCGAAGACTCTGCCGTGTTTTTCCGTCTCAGCATTGATATTTCTGTGGGCATGTTCGAACACGAGTATCAGAACCCCAATGGTAGCCTCGATGAAGCTTTCCTTTACATCGATGCCCTCGCCAAGCTCGTCGTTCTTCTTGTCAAGTTCCAGGGCGAGCACACCGGTGCTGTCAAGGCCAATAAGCCGGCCTACTTCAGCTCCATCCTTTCTTCTCTGGTTCTCGTCCTCAACCACCATCAGGTCATGCGAGGTGAAGCCTTCAACCAGCGCGTTTTCTTCCGCTTGTTCTCCACGATCCTCTGTGAATACTCATTGGCCGGCTTCCAACACCACGAGGAGCACAAGGGCATGATCTTCGCCTTGGCCAACCGCCTGCTCTCTCTTCAGCCCAAGTACATGCCTGGGTTTGTCCATGGCTGGTTGGCTCTGGTTTCACACCGTGTTTTCATGTCGGACATGCTCAACATGCCAGACCGTGAAGGCTGGGCACCCTACTGCGAGATTATGCAAGCCCTGCTTTCCTACATTGGCGAGCAACTCAAGGCTGCTAACATCTCTTATGTTGCCAAGGACTTGTACAAGGGTGTGCTTCGCATCTTGCTGATCCTGCACCACGATTTCCCGGAGTTTGTTGCCGAGAATCATTTCCAATTCTGTAATGTGATCCCCGCCCACTGTGCGCAGCTGCGCAATCTTGTCCTCAGTGCCTACCCATCGTCTTTCCAAAAGCTCCCGGATCCTTTCCGCGAAGGCCTCAAGGTGGAACGCATCCAAGAGATGCGGGAAATTCCTAAGATTGCAGGTGATGTTGCCGCACCATTGGAGCAAGCGAACATCAAAGACCTTGTCGATACTATCCTCCAAAGCGGCAATGCCTCCGAAGCCACTGTCCAGCAGCTTTGTGATGCTGTCACTAACCCTGAGTCCACTGATACTGCTCTTTTGTACGTACCTATCAACGTGGACGTTGTTCTTCTGAACGCGCTGGTTTTGTACATTGGCCAGCAAGCTGCCGAGGAGCAAGCCTCTAAGAGCAACATCCGCAGCGCTTTTGAGAACTCGACTCATGCGGCCCTTCTTGAGAAGCTCGCTCAAGCCATGCAGCCTGAGGCCCGATACTACCTCCTCAGTGCGATGGCAAACCAGCTGCGGTACCCTAATAGCCACACCTACTTCTTCAGCTTCACCATTCTGCGCCTGTTTGGTGTCGACTATCCCGAGCAGGATGAGTCCGACATCCGCCAGCAGATCATTCGAGTGCTTTTGGAGCGCCTCATCGTCCACCGTCCTCACCCTTGGGGCTTGATCATTACTTTGCAGGAGCTGCTCCAAAACCAGAGCTACTCTTTCTTCCGCCTTCCCTTCATCCAGGCGGCCCCCGAGGTACGATCCATTCCCATGTTACGCGCTCTAATTGACAGCTATGTTAACGACTCTGCAACAGATTGGTCGGCTTTTTGATGCCCTCCTCCAGCACATTCAGCAGCAAAGCCCTCGTCCTTAGGCATGAGCTGACTTACACTCTTCCATCCGAACACCTTCCGAGACGACATGATCATACCGTACTCGGCTCCTCATTGTACTTTTTCTCTTTTTTCTATTCACGGGGTTAATTGCTTTCACGTTTTCTTTTTTTTATGCCTCATGTTACGGCCGGGATTTGCCATAGGGACGGTATGCATTTTTCCTATTCGTGTCACGATTTCCGCATGACCTAAGATACTACGATTCTATTTTCGCGGCTGTTTGCGACCTGTAATGATAAAATCGTAAAAGCTGGGAGTTGGGATCTGCATTGACGGCTTGGGATTCCTAATTAAAATTATTCTATCATTATTTAGTACTTATGTATTATATTGGGTCTGTAGCGCTGCATGTGCATGTGTTGGCTGTGGTGTTTTGCAGTATGTAATCTCAGAGCTGCGATAAGGTTGATTGGGCCGAGGAACTTGTTTTCGACCTTCCACTTCCCCCTTCACTACAACCCCTCACGATGGCGGATTCGGAGTACACGGACGATGAGACAGAATATGAGGGCCCCTCCTCTCAAGTCGTCATCTGGGTATGTTTTCTTCAGGTCGGCTATTCATCAATGTGCCTAACGAAAGATAGGACGCGTTCTTGACACCTTTTCGCATGCTATTCTCCAAGACCGCTTTCCGCATATATTTGAACACCCTCTTGTTCATTGGCGCTACACTGCTCCTAGTAGGGATTTCCGGTATTGCTTACGGGATCTTCTACCTAAGGTTCATACCCACGGTCGGCGTTGACCGTGAAGTACATCTGCAATTTGGGTAGGACGCACTTGTTCCCATCAGCTTGACATTGTCGGCCGTTTACTTAAACCCCACATCAACAGCGATGCGAATCCATGGGGCACAGTCTCTCTCGATCCCGAATTCGTTTCCTCGCAACCGTACGATGTTGCCGTGGCTCTCGATATGCCCCGCACGCCATCCAATCTGGAAGTGGGCAACTTCATGATTGATCTGACCCTATATTCTCCTCAAACGAGCTCCGTGCTTCCCAAGTCCACCGGCTCCGTGAACCCGATCTCGCAGTCGCGCCGCCCAGCCATCCTCACTTATAGCTCACCGATGGTGGATGTTGCGCGGAGAATGGCGCGCCTGCCCCTGTATGTCGTTGGCTTGCGTCGAGAAGCAGAGACGTTGGAGGTACCCATGATGGAGAAGCTTGAGTTCGCACGAGGCGCACGAAACCTGCCGCAGAGCTTGCGTCTTGAAATCCAAAGCGATGGAAAGCTACAAATATACTCTGCACGCGTGGAATTTCGCGCGCGCTTTACTGGACTTCGGTATGATTTCCATGTGAATATTGCTTCTAGGGGTCTTTAACTAACATCAAATACAGCTGGTTCATGTATCGCTGGAAGCTCACGTCCTTTGTGATTTTTAGTTCCATGTTCTGGACCGTCTCGATGGCTTCTGCTAGCCTAACCTGGTTCTTGCTGAATTTGGTTTTGCGACCCGAGCTTGTATCGACGGACGAAATCAAAGATGAGGAACACGACAACGTGAAAGAGGAGTCTGAGACTGAAGATATCGGCTCATCCAGAGGAGCTGTCAAGGTCAAGGAGGAGCCTGAGGAAGAAGGAAGTAGCTCCTTGTTACAGAGCTATCTGGCTGGTGATGAAGGGGGCATAGGCTCTGGACTGGAGGATCCAGAAGGCCGAGGCTTGCAGAAACGACGGAGTCATTTGTCGGAATATGACAGCTAGACTGATGTGCTTTGTTCTTTCTCCTGTTTTAGTGCAGCTCGATATACCCTAGTTTAGAAGCTGCTTGCGTTATATAAATGCCAAGTCATTGGAATCATGTCCAGGAATTCACACAAGACCGGTAGGCTAAAGATTAAAAACAGTAATAAAAAAACTCCAGGGTTTTTGTTATATACTACGTACTTGGTACCTGAGTTGGGCGCGAGTATGATGACATCGCGATATGCAGATTCAGGTTCCGATAAAAAGCGCCCCGCGCGGGCAAATCTCCGATCTCTTCCCCTCCATCTACTCACCAATTGATCAGTACTCACCATGCATATTCTGGTTCGCACATGCTATTCTCATCAAAAATCATGGCAAGACTAACATATTCTTATACTAGGTCACTAACGACGACGGTCCACCGTCGAACCAGTCGTCGCCGTACGTGCACTCCCTCGTCCACTGGCTCCAGTCTGCCGGCCATACAGTCTCGGTCATCCTCCCCCACCAGCAGCGATCGTGGATCGGTAAAGCACACTTGGTCGGCGCATCTGTGAAACCGACCTACTTCCGGCCGGGCACTTTACACCAGGAAGATGGAACAGTGCATCACCTACCGCGGGGTAGCAATGGCGAGCCCGATGACGGCGGTGACGAATGGATCCTGATTGACTCAACTCCAGCAAGCTGTGTCCAGATCGGTCTCTTCCACTACTTCCAGGAGCGTGGACCGGTCGATGTCGTTGTTTCCGGTCCAAACTATGGCCGTAATAGCACAGCGCTGTTCGCCTTGTCGAGCGGAACTATTGGTGGCGCCATGGAAGGTGCTGTCTGTGGAAAGCCGTCCATTGCCTTATCTTATGCCTTTAGCTCTCGTAACCACGACCCTGTGGTCATCGCAGAGGCTTCAAAGCACTCGGTCAAGGTGATCGAGCATCTTTGCGCCAACTGGGTGGACGGCGTGGACCTCTACAGTGTCAATGTTCCTCTGGAGCCTGGTGTTAGCCAGAACAAGGTCCTATACACAGACATGCTAATTAATAAGTGGAAATCTGGAAGCTGTTTTGAGGTTGCTGACCCCGCTGAGGGTGGTGATCCAGAGTTGCAAGAGCATGAATTGCGAATCAAGAGCGAGTTGGAAGGACAGAAGAAAGATGCTAATGCCGCAAGTGGTGAGAAGTCGCGCCCGTCGAGATTCCAACACAGGCACTTCAAATGGGCACCCGACCTGCAGGATGTCTATAAGAGCGTCGAGGAAAGCGCTCCTGGTAATGACGGCTGGGCCGTTAAAGAGCAAATGACCAGGTAAGTTGACTGTCGCTAGGCACGCATCTACCTCTCACTGACCATATTTCTTATAGTGTCACGCCTTTGAAGGCTAGTTTTATGCATGCGCCCGGCATCACGGGTGAGATTAAGCTGTGAGTGCAGATTAAGACATGATGGCTGCAAAGATCTTTTGTTTCAGATGTACAGGGTACTTGTGCTTTAGATATCTGGCATAGCTGATAGACCTCATGCTCCCCCTTATTCCCATTGTTTTATGAAGTTTTTCTTGCAATTCATGTTGGCATATTATTTGAGACGATTCTGATGGAGGGGGGTTTCTTGTAGATCAGATAGCCAGCCCGAGACTAGCCAGCCTACGATGTACTCTATCGTGGATTGTGACGTTCCATACGTGGGAGAACTCGTGGAGAGAGCATTGGCTACTCGTTTGGGTGATGCTGCTCATTTCCAACGCATCCAATCGATCTCCGAGTTGCCCGAGTCTTCCGCACCTGTCTTCCAATACCGTGAATACGAGCGTCTTGACTTTGAACACATGGTCTCAAGGTCGTCAACCTCCCTTGGAAACGCCTACGTCATCCGGAAAGCCCTCATTCGCAAACATTACCTTTCCAACACTGTGGCCAATTGGATTTCGAAGCACCCGGACAGCATCTTACGGAAGCATGTTAAGCCTGCATTCGACTTTGAATTGGACTACGCCGAGTTCCTCGATGAAGCGTTACTGGAAGCATACGAGCTTCGCGAGAGCCTGGACAAGAACGAAGAGCGACCTGAATCCGAGAGGGAGTGGTGGATCCTCAAGCCCGGCATGAGTGACCGCGGTCAGGGAATCCGCCTCTTCAACAGCGAAGCTCAGCTCCAAGAGATTTTCGAGGAATGGGAAGAGGATTCGGACGAAGAAGAAAGTGGCTCTGAGAAAGAAGATGCCGACGATGCACCACACGATGCAGGCGTTGTCACCTCCCAGCTCCGCCACTTCATCGCCCAACCCTACATCGACCCCCCACTTCTCCTCCCTTCGGCCTCAAACAGAAAATTCCACATCCGCACTTATGTCCTCGCCACAGGCTCGCTGAAGGTATACGTCTTCAAGGAGATGCTCGCCCTGTTCGCCGCGAAGGAATACTTCCCACCCCACGAAGAAGAAGACGAAATCAAAGACCTTGCCCGCCATCTCACAAACACCTGCTTTCAAGAAGGCGGCAGTTCTAATGAGGGTAGTGTCCGCCGCTTCTGGGATCTCGATCACCATGTGCCGGGTCTCAGCGCGGACTGGAAAGAGCAGATCTTCTCACAGATCTGTGCCGTCACGGGCGAAGTATTTGAAGCCGCAGCCCGGGGCATGATGGTGCATTTCCAGACGCTGCCGAATGCGTTCGAGTTGTTCGGTGTTGATTTCTTGGTTGACAGCACTGGATGTACGTACCTGTTGGAGGTGAATGCTTTCCCGGACTTTGCACAGACGGGCGAGGACCTTAAGGAGGTTGTTGTTGGGCGGTTGTTTGAGGAGATGATCGATGTTGCAGTGAAGCCATTCTTTGGCCTGGGAGATAATGACGGAAAGGGAGACATGAAGTTGGTGGCGGATCTGGATCTTGGTAGACGTGCATAGAAGGATTAGATGGGGCTGGGTGTTGTTTATATTAAAAGTTTTAATACAAAAGTTGAATTGAGCGGTACTTGGTACCTATGTTTGGAGTCATTCTCTTATATCAGGCCACTCTGATCCTGTTCTTTTTAAGCTGACTAGTAAGCGCCAGCGTCTGTACCCGAAAGCCTCATTGATATTGGCAACTTCGCCATTACACAATCTTTACTCGTACATCCAAAGTATTAAACCCGTTTTCAGTACTCTTTCGTCCAAAAGATCCGCCCTTCGAACAGTCGTCGGGCCGTACGAAATACAGTTGCCGATGCAAGTGCACCAGCTGTGTCGAATTTAGCACCGACTAACAAGTTCCCACTAGCATGACCAATTGTGATACCCGCGTTGTCAATAGGATCTTTACCCGCAACAGCAAGGGAAACAGTGCTCCCAAGTACCCTTGCAGCAGCAGCCAAAGCCAAAGCGACAGTGATAGGCACTGCCTTATGTGGCTGCCCAACAGACAAAGCCCGGGCAAGAAGATCGACATGACCGGACGTCTGTTTCATCTCAAGATCTCTCGCATCAAAGGCAGAAGGCGCCGAGACCAGACAGATCTTGGGTATACTTCCTGGGACAGCAACAGGAGTCTCTGCAATGCCCATTTTCACACCGGCCTGACGCCGAATAGAATCTAAGCGCGATAGCAGATCAGGATGGGCATTGATCTCATCTGGAGTCAAATTACCATCCACACCAAGATCAGAAGCCTGGACAAAGACACAAGGGTTGGCAGCATCAATACAAGTCACGGAGATGTCATCGAAGGTGTCAATAGCTTGGCCTGTCGGCAATAATTTACCCGTGACCGACCCAGCTGGGTTGATAAAGTCCAATTGGATACGGGCCGCGGTCCCCGCAACTCCATCAATGGAGAAGTCACCGGCGGATGCAGCTTCACCGTCGACAACAGGGAATGAGGAGTGAATGATCTTGCCGGTATTGGTGTTATGGATGCGAATAGATACTGAGTCGAGATTATCCTGCGACAAGGGGAACAGCCCTGAATCGACTGCAAAGGGCCCGACGGCACTTATCATGTTTCCACAGTTGCTGGAATAGTCAACGTCCATGTTTTTGATTCCCAGTGATACGAAGGTATAGTCAACATCCGCGTCGGGGTGTGTTGGTTTGCCGACGATGCACACTTTCGATAAGCTCGAGATGCCACCACCAAGCCCGTCGAGTTGGCGGCCGTACGGGTCTGGGCTGCCAATTACGCCGCGTAAAATGGGGTCCCATTCCTTTCTGTCGTGGGGAAGGTCATCTTGTTTGAAGAAGACCGCTCGAGATGTGCCGCCCCTGTAGTAGGCTGCCGGCAGGGCTTGTTGTTTATGCATGGTGCGTCGATTATTTGAAAGCAACAGAGACCTAGTACTCGGGCGTCCAGGTACTAGTCTAAGCATTTTGCCTGCAAATGGCCATCGATCGATTCGATATCTCGTTGATTTAACGTTGTCCAAGGTTCTCGGTTGCCCGCGATCGGACCATCGGGAGCGGTCCGTTGCCGCAGGGTAGACAACATCTTCGCAACACACCCGCTAAAATGAAACATCCATTATTCGTGGAATGTGAAGTTTAAAGGTTAAATTGACAAAGGATTGGGTTCCAAAGAATTTCCAAATGAAGAACAATTCTCGATGCTTTATCGTCATCTGCACCGCAAAGATCGGCGATTATGGTCCATCTATGTCCCCTCTTTTTAGCTAACCGCCGACCAACTAATTGCGCATGAAGAGCTCTCCCTAATTGGCTGCTGAACTTTCGTACTTCCTACGCAAGCGCTTTGCTCTGGCAATGAGCCCCGCAGCTTTGGGGCCACGCTGTTTTGGCAAATATTTCCTGCCTAAAATGTTCCATGCCATACCATGCCTTGTTGAACAGGGACATATAAGCCATTACAGCCTTCCCCTGGGGTATAACACTCGCGAAGTGTCTTTGAAACAAGAAAATGGGCATCATTACGAAGCTGAAGCGTTCGGCAAGGTCGAAAGCAACCAATCTATCCCAGAATGGTACGGTCTCATGGCCAGGAACAAGGCTCCGGGCCCTAAATCGTGCTAGTTCTTTCCCGGTTTCTTCAAGCGTCGAAAGATCCTCCAAAATCATCGAACCCGCACCAGAATGCAGGGATGATCCGTTGGTTTCCTCGCAGGATTCCGTTTCGTCACACAATGGCGATCTTTGGGCTTGGGCATATGAGATGGTTGCGCAGAGACAGCCCGCGCTCATGGCAGACTATCAGAAACACCTAGGATCAATGGGAGGCAATGACTCAATTGATGTGGATTTTACTGCGCCGCGGTCGGTAGAGTCGGTTGTGAAGAATATACAGGATGAACAGAAGAAGAAACAGTGGCAAGTCGCGATTCAAGGGAAGCATATGACGATACGAGAACCAACTGAAAAGTTGATCAAGTTTGTCATCTGGGTTGCTCCTAAAATCCAAAGCGCTGTCAGCGGTTTTCCATATGCTGCACTAGCGTGGGGTGGTGTCTGCTTGGTTCTCCCAGTATGTCCATGACTTTCCAGCATCAAAGTTACTACTAACTTTGAAAGCTCCTTTCTAGTGGTATAAAAAACAACGAAGCGATGCTGAAAGGATTCAATCTAATTGGCGATATCCAAATATACTGGGATATCTGTGAGAAGAGACTCCTCGAATCCAAGCACCAAGAGGAGTACAAGGCCCTCAGAGAACCCCTGGCGAAGCTCTACTCTCAAATTATCGAATACCAGGCGCGGGCTATATGCCATCTTTCCAAGGCTCAACTCTCTCGCGCATGGGAGAATGTCGCTGGTGCTCATGACTGGGAGGAAATGACAACAAATATTGGAAATGCGAGCAATGTTTGTATTACCAATATTGATCCTCTCGAGGCAGAAGAAATTCGTAAGAACCGAGACAGTACCCTACAAGAAATTCGAGAGTCGCGGGCCATTCTTGAAGAAATTCGAGAAGTGTTGGAAGTGGGACAAAATGCCAATTCAAAGATATATGAAGATCAGCAACAGGCAGCCCTTTTGCATGATCTTGCTTCTCAATATGAGGATGACAAGAAGGTTATTCCACTCCGTGTTCAGGACACATGCGAGTGGTTTTTCAAAGACCAAAGCTTTCGCAATTGGCGCGACAACGATACTTCCTGTCTTTTGAGAATAACTGCCGGTCCAGGTTGTGGGAAATCAGTCTTGTCACGCACGTTGATCGACGAGAACCGATTGTCAATTACCCCTGCCACGTCAACCGTTTGTTACTTCTTCTTCAATGATGGAGACGAGAACCGCATGCATGCTACAAACGCTTTGAGTGCAATTCTCCATCAACTCTTCATACAAGATCCCACTGGGACTTTGATCAAAGCTGCAGTCGATAGCCATAAACGATTTGGTGCGTCACTGAAACAGAACTTCTCTGAGCTATGGCGACTTCTCAATCGATGTTCTAGCCTGCCAGAGGCTGGAGAGGTTGTTTGTGTTCTTGATGCATTGGACGAGTGCAATGAGAGTAGTGCACGACAATTGATCGAGGCTTTGAGAGGGTACTACTCTCTCCCCAAGTCGCATTCAACTTCGAAGCTCAAGTTTCTGATCACAAGTCGCCCATATGCTCATTTGGAGGTCTCTTTCAAAAAGTCGCCTGAGTCAGTAGCATATCTTCGCTTTGACGGGGATGAGAAATCAGTGGAGATTGCCAAGGATATCGACCGAGTTATTGATTACAGGTTAAATGATATTGCGGGTGCATTCAATGCTCAGGATCGTGAAAGAATTTCGAAGCGACTGAAAGGCATGGAAAATCGTACATATCTTTGGCTGCATCTCACATTCCATATCATTGAGGAAAATCCGAGTCAATTTGGCCGCCGGGCTGATGTCGAAGCCCTTCTGGAGGATTTGCCCGAGCAGGTTTCGGCGGCATATGAGAAGATCTTGGCCCGAAGCAAGAGTCCGGTGCGTACCGAGGCCCTTTTGCGAATTCTTCTGGCTGCAATGGAACCTCTGACTTTGGATGAAGCCAACATGGCTTTGACTACAGAACTGGCGAGGCAAGATTCTCAGCCAGTCTTGGTGTCGGATATGTGGGAGCCGGATGTTTTCAAGGACATTGTGAAGGACTTGTGCGGACTGCTTGTGAATATTCACGGATCGAAGCTGTTCTTCATGCACCAGACAGCTCGGGAATTTCTCGCACATCGAGAGCGATACGGCGAATGGAAAGGTCGGCTGGATATGCTCGGGTCTCACCGCCGGATGTTGCTGATCTGTCTGGGCTCTTTATCATGTCTTGATAAGAAGGTTCTTGGAGAGATACTCACACATGCCGAGTTTTTCTGGGGTGAGCTTATGGGTTACGGTGCTTTTAGTGCCCACAATTCTCAAATCCTCCAAAACTTCAAGGCAGACTTCCCCCTAGCCTTGTACTCTACTCGATATTGGATCGACCATGCAAGACTTATCGAAACTGAAGCCCTTGAAGAGATTGTGTCTTTTGTGGAGAATAATCAGGCATATGAAGCCTGGGATGGGCTTTACTCCATGATAACCGGTGGACGTCTCGGGTACAAGAGGTTCAAGCGTCAGACAACTCCTCCTTTATTACATGCATCCTCCGCAAATCTTCCTTGTTTGACAAAACAACTGCTGGAGAATGGGGCAAAAATTGATGCCGAGGGGTATCAGAACCCGACTGCTCTCTTTGCTGCAGCTGAAAAGGGCCACAAAGAGATTGTGGAGCTCTTATTGAAGAACAATGCTCATGTCAACGCTCGAAGTCGCCCTGACGCCCCTCCTGCTTTCAACGGTGTCTCTCTATTCTCCAACAGTGCCTGTGCTAACTCTCCAAAATCTCAACCAAGCGGTCAAACTGCTCTTTATATTGCTTCTTCGCAAGGCCAGGAAGATATTGTACAGCTACTGCTGGAGAATGGCGCTGACACCACATTGTGCAATGCTGGGACGGAGTATCCAATTCATGGTGCTTCCCAGGGCCGACATATTGGCGTCGTGAAGCTTTTACTGAAGAATGGAGCAGATGCGAGTCCTGGAGGTGGCTTCATGGGGGAGGAGACACCTCTGTTCATTGCTTCAGAAGCAGGCTACAAGGATCTTGCTGAAGTATTGATAGAGGGTGGGGCCAATGTCAACAAGATGTCAGGAACCTTTGGTGGTGGGAAGACAGCACTCATGATCGCTTGCAGGAAAAACCATTTCGATGTGGTGGAATTATTGCTGAACAAGGGGGCAGATGTCAATATGCAAGGAGCGGATTTTGCTCTCCACACTGCTTGTGAAAAGAATAATTTCGAGATGGTGCAGCTGTTAGTCAGATATGGGGCAGATGTGAACATCAAGCGAGAATATGGCAACTCTCTTGCTTACGCTCACAGTCTGGAGATTGTACAATTTCTGATTGATAATGGGGCAGATGTCAACGCAAAAGGTGAAACCAGCAATGCGCTGGTGAAGGCTTCTGAAAAAGACCATTTAGATATTGTGCGAGTATTGATCAAGAATGGGGCGAACGTTGATGCTAAAGGAAGGAATAACGAGCATGGAAATGCTCTGTTCACAGCTTGTTTCAAGGGCAATTATGAGGTTGTCGAGTTGCTGCTTGAGAGCGGAGCAGATGCTAATTCGGAGGAGCCGCCTCTCAATGCCCTTCAAGCAGCTCGCAAGGCAGAATGGGATGACATTACTGCGTTGCTTTTGCAACATGGGGCTCAAAGACGATCGAAATAGGGGAGGAAAGAGACTCTTATGTATGTAGCTCTAGACGAACCTGCATATATGATTTAAATCAATGACACTCGGGTGGCTTTGTTTCAATTTTCTTGAATGACAGCTCTGTCAACCCTTTGGTGCATTGGGGTGATTTTCACTGGCATACCATATTTATCACTTGCTTGAATATCAAGACCTTGAATCTTGAATCAGCATCGGTCAAACTTCATTAGCGTGCTAGTATATGCTGGGTCTGAACGCTCCATTCGAAAGCTGCCATGGCCATCACCATGATGGGCTACATTCTCGCCCTGGTCTTCTCAATCTACGTGAACATCTACAAGAGAGATAGCATGGAATTGCGTCGCAGAACTGAGATCAATGTCACAATCCTAGTGAGTAAAGAGATTGAAATGGAAGAAGGAAGTCAGAGTAAGCCTACCACCGCAAACGGGCGATGAGACAGTTGAGGAAGAGCAACAGAGACATGGATGAAAGCACGGTATGGTAGTGTATTTAGCTAATTATTAATCAGTCGAGTGGTGTCATATGCTGGTGTACACAGGCTATCTTCAAATTTTAGTCTATAAGAGTAATTAGATGAAGCTTCGACTTCAATAGTCCCGAGGTTTGAAAAGGCAACATATCGAACATATTCTTCAACACATTCTTGCCCCAGTCTTTGGTTTCGCTCTGAGTGTCCAGTCAAACCCAATTAAACATTCTCCGAACCCCTTGAACTAGCTCGGCCTTGTTTAAACCGAAGACCCATGAGGAGGCAGGTCGAGTCCAAAGCGTGAAGCAGGCTTTGGGATTAATCTACACAAGTCGGTATTTGGAATTCTGCAACAATGAATTGTTTCTCAGGAAAACCATCCGGTCTTGCAATGAAATAGGTAACAGATTGTATTTGTAAGATGCCTTTTATTAAAAAAAGGTCACGGTACAGTCTCCCCGGATGAAGTGATGTTGAGGCTCAAATACCTGCACGACTGATAAGAGAGACCGCTTTGCTCACCGCCCATGGGCATTCCCAATCAGGAAGGACACCAGCTTCACCTTCTCCACACCCTCTTCTTTCGACGTCGACTGCAAGCAGGCTTCCTACCGCTGCAGGAGCAGCTTCTACTCACCATGCCTGATGATCCAAAAGGGAAAGGATTTCCTGATATTTCCGCCAAACTCTCTGCGCTACCAAAGAAATCGTTATTCGAGCGCCAAAAAGCCGAAGCCGAAGCCAAGCGCGCCCGGGAGAAGGCCGAAACCGCAGCAGTTTACGAGGACTTCGTGAAATCATTTGAGGATGACACACCTACCGGGCCAAAGACACTTGATACACGGCCGAACTCATTTGCGACTCGGGGTGGAGGATTAGGAGGGGGGCCACCGCGACGACATTTCACAAGTTCCGGCCCACGCAGCAGCGGCCCAGGCACACTAGGACTGCCCCCACACTCGTTGCCTGGCAAGCGAACACACGACGGGCTTGCGCCGCTATCGCGCAATCGCGATGCATCACAAGGTGTCCTAGGATTCGATCAAACAACCACAGGTCCGCTTGGTCCCCCGGCTGGATTCAACAGCCCGTCAGACGATGAAGATCACCGAAAAGCCGATGTCAAAGGTTTAGAAAGGGCAGCTGCTAAGCCGACACTGCAGCTAACGTCGTTACCGCCTGGAACGTCTCCATCAGTGGTAAAGGCATTGATCCCCTCTCCTCTAGTAGTTGACAATGTACACATCACACGCCCATCCAGCCAAACCGCCACAGAACGAAAATCATCAGCGGCTATTGTTACCCTTGCGAGTGATACTGCTGCTTCTGATATCGATAACGCGGTCAGTGCACTTCAAAACAAGTATTTGGGCCGAGGATATCATCTCTCCCTGTCTCGACACCTCTCTTCCGCAGCGGTCACTTCGAATATTTCAACTGGTCTTGGCTCCTCAACTGCTAGCCTACTCCCATTTGGTGCAAAGAATATTCAGCCAACCCACGGGGCTCGCCTGAGTCGCGCTCCACCCCCCGGGTCCCATCGCGGGGGTTTCGCGCCTCCAAGCTCATATGGACCTAATCTTGGAAGGGCTGCACCTTCCACGCAGGTTGAAGTCAGAGTACCGGTGGAAATCAAACAACTAAGATTAATTCACAAGACATTGGAGGCCCTTTTACAGCACGGCCCCGAATTTGAGGCCTTGCTCATGAGTCGACCGGAGGTGCAAAGGGATGAGAAATGGGCGTGGATTTGGGATGCAAGGAGCCCAGGTGGCGTATACTACCGATGGAAGCTATGGCAGACTGTCACGCAACCCCAGCCCGGCCGCAAAAATGATAAGCTTGCTTCGATCTTCGAGGGTGGAGCAAGCTGGAACCCACCCGATTGTCGCATAAAATTTGAATATGCTACACATCTTGATGAGTTTATTTCAGATGAGGACTACAATTCTTCAGATGAAGAGCATTCTGACAATGAGGATGAGAGGCGAAATTATGGCGGAGCTCCACCTCCTGAAGGAATCAGTGCCCAACAAGACGGCCTTGGCTACATGAACCCAATGCAAAAGGCCAAGCTCACTCATCTCTTGGCTCGATTGCCGACAACCCATGCTAAGCTCCGCCGAGGTGATGTTGCTCGGATTACCTCATTTGCAATTGAACATGCTGGCGCAGGGGCAGACGAGGTTGTGGATATGATTGTCTTGAACATTTTGACCCCGCTGGCATACACTGGAGCCAACCCTGACCGGGAACTAGAAAAAGCCGCAGCAGACCCGGAGAACGATAACAAAGACGGTGTCAACATGTCTTCCAAAAAAATGGATTTGTCCTCCGCTAAATTGGTTGGACTGTACATTGTCTCCGATATTCTTTCTTCATCAGCAACAAGCGGCATACGTCACGCATGGAGATATCGGCAGATATTTGAATCCTCCCTTCGCTCCCACAAGGTCTTTGAGCACCTCGGCCGACTCGAGAAAGACCTCAGCTGGGGCAGACTGAAGGCCGAAAAATGGAAACGCAGTGTTGGCACTCTTCTACATCTGTGGGAAGGATGGTGTGTCTTTCCACAAGACAGTCATGGGCATTTCGTCCAAATGTTTGAGCAGCCGCCTCTCACCGAGGAGGAGCAACAGAGGGAGGAGGAGAAGGTCAAGGCGGAACAAGCGAAGAGCGCTTTCCTCAAAGGAAAGAGTAGCTGGAAATCCGTGGACGACGAGCCTATGCCTGGGAAATTGGACTTGAGTCATCCTACCCCAACCGAGAACCAGGAAAATGTTGCAAATATCAATGCTCCAGAAGATGAATCCATGAGTGACATTGATGGGGTTCCCATGGAAGACAGCGACATGGAGGACGCAGAGCAGGATCAGCCCATAGAGCAAACCAAACCAGAATTGGGCGAAGATATTTCTGAGGACCAAGAATCTGCACAGCCCAAAGCAGAATCTGAAGAACCAGACTTGGCATCTCGGCGTCTTCGAAAGCCAAGGCCAAAAGCCGAAGACATGTTTGCGGAGGACTCAGCATAAGTCGAATGATATTATCAGGCTAGATATTAACGACTGAAATGAAACCAAAAACTACATGTTACCATCATTCTTGCTTGAAACGACAGGCAAGAAGTTCTACCATAGCATTTTTTTCTAGTGCACGCGCACTACTCGATTCATCTTTGATCCCTCGTGACGTCGTTGTCGGGTTGATTTAATTTCTCTTGGCACAAGGCACCAAGGCATCAACAACAGAATTCGTGCCTACACTACCCCTCCCGCATCAACAAATACCTTCATCCCACCAAATTCGTTTCTTTATACCCCTGATCTCGCATCTCTCGCAACATATCTTTCAAAATGGCTGGTAAGTCCAAAAACTATCCAATCACGCAAATCCCTCTCTCAAGCCACACAGCTGCACCAGAGGGCAGGTATATGTCTGCCCCTCAACCTGCGTGAACGGGTTGCGCGTGGCATTCTCACAACACTACCAGATGAACTTAACTTCTTTTGGATTGAATAGATTATGGTTTTAGCTAACAGTCCCTCTCACAACAGACTTTGAAAGCATCGCTAGTATGTTTCCCCCCATCCTATCCGCATGCGCCTGCGCCAGCACACAATAAGAGTCCTCCGTTGGCGTCTCGATCCTTGCGTAGCAATGAGCCACATATACTCCTAGGTGTACACGTCGCTCATTCTATCCTGTCAAACTATAGAGACCTTTGTTGATTACTACTACCCCACCTTTGACAACAACCGGTCACAGTTGGCGGGCCTCTATGTAAGCTCAGCCCTTGTCCGCTATCAGACTAGGCGCGAAACCCTTCGTCGCTCCAGCCTGAATTATATACCCTGAGATCGATGAATGCTGATGATTTTCTCAATTGAAAGCGCGATGAGTCGATGCTCACCTTCGAGCGGGCCAATGTCCAGGGTGCCGCTGCCATCATGGAGAAGTTCTCGGTTTGTTAATCCCGTCGGACCAAATTGTCTAATTATGCCATGAAAAGATCTAACCGCGAACTCCCTTCAATAGACCCTAGGCTTCAACCAGGTCCGCCACGAGGTTGCGACCGTTGATTCCCAGCCCACTGCCGCTGGTGGTGTCCTTGTGATCGCTGTCGGTGCTCTTATTGTACGTGAAGAACGATATATTACCTGTTTTAGGAAGACGACCTGTATCTTGATAAACTAACTTGATCAACCATCAGACCGACGGCGAGGACCGACCCCAGAACTTTGTCCAGACATTCAACCTTGTGCCCGAAGGCAACGGTGGATTCTGGGTCTCCAACGACGTCTTCCGTCTGATCTTCCCTGCCGTCTAATTTTATCGGCTTTGAATCGCGGATAGAATTGCTTACGACGCGATGATAAAGAGATTTTTTGCGGTGTAGGAGTGATGCACTGAGACAATATTTCCAAGACCCAATTTATTCTGAAGCACAGGATAAAACAACACTTGGGTTATGGAACGAATAAAATAGATTCCATCGACCCTTGGGTTGAAATGAAAAGAAAAATTTTCCCACTTATTCTCCCATAGGATTGAATTGATCCCTAAATTCTCATTGCTGAGTTTATTTCTATATACGCATGCCTAGGTAGCACGTCCGATATCTGCCTGCTGCCGGGGTCCGGCCACTGCTTCCAAGGTAGAACATGACATGCACGAGAAAATCACTGGCTTTGCAACAGTGGGGTCTCTTCAGAAGGATGTTCCTCGGACACCGGCTCCCGTGCCGGCACCTCAGGTCGTTCAGACGAGGAAGGCCTGTTCGATGGCTCATCCTGCTCATCCGGGCCCTCATTCGCGCTTCCCTTGCGTTTGTTTTCGGGGCCAAAGTACTCAAAGTAGATGGCCATCACCAACAAAGTTCCCTGCAAACAAGCCGTGACCACCAATACACCCCAAACACTCCAGCCTTTGACTCCTTCGCGCGCTGCAAGACTGGCAGCCCAGACTAGACTTCCAGGTGTCTGGATACACATCATCGGGATACTCAGACTTCCCACGCAGCGCAGCCGGAGAGTTGTATAAATCTGTGGAAAGTACTGAATGGACGCAAGAATAGCAGCTAAGATCCCGAGGAAGTTCGCCCATGCTGGGAGAGCAGCGGGTTGGCGGATAGCAAATGCCACCGAAATGATCAATATAGCTAGGGCGTGAAACAGACAGATGGCAGTGATCGAAACAGCAGTGCGGTACGTCGGGCCACTGGAGGTCGAAGAGACAGAGGCGGCCGGGTCGGTGGCGGAGGTAGCCCTGGGGAAGTAGATCACGAAGAGGAGTAGGCTAAACATTGTTAGCAGGGGATCTGCACCTGGAAGTATTCAAGCGTAAAGCGCTGTATCGCTCCACTCACATTAAAAAGAAGCTTAGCCATTGCGTTCCCATTTGAAAAACACCTAGGAGCCCTGCGAAGCAGGCCAACCCATCAATCTCCTTGCAGCAAGCAGCATCCTGAGCAGTTTTCGGGAAGACCAAAATATTTGCAAAGGCGCATGTACCCGAAGTGGTACCGAGAAGCACAAAATACGGTGAAATTCCAAAGGAGCTTCGTCGTGTGATGATTCGAATGTGTTGTGGTAAATAAGAAATCAGGATGCCGAAAATGATCAAGCTGATATGGGACGAGTCAGTTTCCAGACGCAGCTGGGATTTACAGGCGGACACATACACAGATAGTACAGGCTGGAAGATGCCAGGTGAGGCCAGCTCACGGCAGATTGGCGATGAAGGATCCATAGGCTGCTTGGCAGGTAATGATGACCTGTCAGGCTGTCTAGCTTCGAAGGGGTTGATTGGTCTTGAGATAATGCCACGAAGCCGAATTATGGCATCTGATAGCTTGAGAAAAAAGGATTGTATCTCCACACAGGAGACAAAGAGATGTGTGGAACGTCAGATTGAATGAAAGATATCACAGGAGTTTATTGAAGAGGAGCATGGAGGTGACCTCAGTCCCCGCAACTGATAGCTACCCGCCTTGGGCTCCAACACTAGTCCCATATTAGTATAGCGCTTCCCACCGCCTAGGGCACGTGAAATGTATGTATTTTACTCTTTGTATATGCGTAAGGTTGTTCTTTCCGGTGAGGGCGATCCACCAGAGCCATGGTACTGGCCAATTAGGAGACTGTGAGGTTTGGATGGAGGGAAGTCAGTAGGGAAAATGGATTTTGTATTAGAGAAATCGTCATAGCTGTTCAAATAGGATCAAAGCTCAGAAATGCAATTTTCACAGAGAACAGTCACATATAAGTCATTGACTCGTCATCTTGTCTTGATACCTCTTTCGAGTGCATCCCTGAGGCATACGGTGACAGAATCAATGTCTGCTTCATAATGAAGTCTAAAATCGTAACAATCTTTGAATGACCACTCTCAGCTCCCTTCCCACTACCAGACCCCTTTCCCCAGAACTCCGCATGGCAGGAATACCTCCCTTCGTCGTTGATCCGGATGAAACGCCATTAAACGCCATTTTCCCCCATTGGTAATTGCACCTTACAGAGTGGAGTCTCGGCCGGCCTGTAGTGGCCGCTCCTGGTGTACACATCCTGGAGCCAAGATGTAGATTAGGAATTGCATCATATAAAAAAGCTATTTCAGAAACACTTACCCATGAATCCCTACCTTCTATTGCTTTCTGGTCTTTTGTTTTTCTTCGACGTCGCCATGCCAAAATTTGGAGTGAGGAGTTGAAGGAAAAAAGGATGATAGTAGGGGAGTGATATAAATATTCACTTGAAATTATGAACTATCATAATAGGACTAAACCTCTTCGGGATAGCGGGGTGCATACACCGCTCCATAGCTAGTCGATGGTAAGTTAAACGCCCCCTGGGATTCACCAGTGATTGCAAAAGCGAAGGGCTTCGCACCTTTCACAATTTAGATATTTAATGAGTCGCATCTAGGTGAGAGAGAGCAGGCCATATTGAGGAGAACCTAAGCGCTGATTGGTTGGGTGAAATTCCATGTATGCCTCAGGCCATAAGGCAACAATGTACCCCGATTTTGTGCATAGCTTGCTGTATATCGTTCAACAGCGGAGAGCTGGTTCTAATAACCTATAATAGACCCAATTTGCGCCTCTTACTAGATTTGTGTCATTGGTTGGTGCAATTACGAGGGTCTTAACCTTGGAAACTCCCCTCCATTACAAGTCCCGTGGTGACACAAAGAAAGTGGAGCCCAAAGTACTGTAGAAGCTGAAAGATTGGGCAAGAACACAGGTATACAGACTTCCATAGAACCTATATTCGGGGGCAGAGTTGTAGGGGCTTCATTATAGAAACAAGATAATCAGATGACGCCAATTCATTTGCTAGGAAGAATGAGCCACTCGATGAATCATGCACTTAGGGAACCAGGCAAATTCCCCAACTACGTCACTGCACGATCATCCTTGCTATTGTTTCCTTGCCTGCATCACCCTTTGAAGGCAAGATCTGACCCCTCGTATTTAAGAGAATTCTTGCACCTGCCTTGCTTGTTCCCTCTTTTTGATCCTCAATCTTTTTTGGGTATGTCTCTCCCCAGGTGCTTATAAAAAGGTGTTCTTGTACTGATTCAACAGCTCTTATCAAAAACAACCAAAGCCATCATGAAACTGCATCTGGCCACCGGCTTGGTGTTTTTCCTTGCGACCGCAGAAGCTGTAGGAGCTTCTAGCTGGTGGAGCAAAGCTGGTTCGTTGCTCTTTGAGAAATGTCCATGCTCTTACTCTCAACGCTAACATTAAAATTCTAGTTTACAATAAATGGCATGAGACAGAGCTTGAGAGATGGCTCTCGGATCATGGTAAGTGTTGCCATTTGGAAGAAAATCATGTTGTGATCTTGAACTGACATCGCATCCAGACATTCCTTACCCTACTCCCGCCGACCGCAGGGACCTCGAAAACTTGGTCAAGTCCAACTGGGACGCCAAGGTCCAGAAGCCCCTCGGGTCAATCACTGATCAGGTCTCGGACGATCTTCACCATGCCAAAGAATGGGTGTTCGATACGTAAGTTGGCTCAATGCACCCTTCAATCCACACGAACACATACTGAAAGTACCCAAGCTGGTCGGACTCGCAACTCAAATCATTCCTCGATTACCACGGCATTCCAGCCCCTCAGCCCCGCAAGCGCGACGCCCTCATCAAGACCGCCCGCGAAAATTACGAAGCTGTCGCAAAGAAAGTTGGCGAGACGGCCTCATACCCTGGTAACTGGTTGTACGGACAATGGTCCGAGTCCGACCTGAAGGAATGGCTCGACGAGCGCGGATGGCCGGTCCCTCAGCCTACCACCCGCGACAAGCTCATCGCCATGGTGCGCCGCAACTCCCGAAGTGCTAGTCTCCAGGCACGCGCCCTCACCGCTTCGGCCATTGCGTCTGCTGAAGCCGCGAAAGCATCGCTGAGTGAAGAACTATTCAACGCCTGGTCCGACTCCAAGCTGAAGGAGTTCCTTGATGAGCATAATGTGCGAGTGCCGCAGGGTTCCAAGCGCAATGAGCTCATTGCCCTTGCTCGCAAGCATCGCGCTTACTTGCTTGACCAAGCTGCCAGTGCATCCGCTGCTGCCTCCGAGGCTGTCGGTGCCGCTACTACCAGGGCCGGAAATGAGTATGCTCGGGCAACGGAAGACGTTAAGCTCAAGTCGGAGGATGGGTTCAATGCTGCTGTCAAGACCTGGTCGGATTCCCGCCTCAAGGCGTTCCTGGATGCTCGTGGTGTCCCGGTCCCCCAGGCTGGTAAACGTGATGAACTTGTCGCCGCTGTTCGTGCTAGTGCGCACCGAGCTGCTGGTGGATGGAACGAGTACAACTTTGATACCTGGGACAAGGAGCACTTGCTGTAAGTTTCCTTCTGGAGAAAGGATGATGGGCAATGACTAAAACTCTATTAGCAAATATTTGTCCGCTGTCAACGCCAAGGCTGCGAAAAAGGCCGATGCTTCTCGGGAAGAACTGGCCAAGTCTGCCCAGGAAAACTACGTCAAGGCCTCCAAGCTCGGCGGCGAGAAATACGCATCCGCTAGTGCTGCTGCGGCACAGGCTTCGGGTCATGTTAAAGATGCCACCTTTGACCAGTGGTCGCAATCTGAGCTCAAGAAGTACCTGGACTCGTACGGTATCCCTGTGTACCAAGGTTCTAACATCAACGAGCTCCGCGCTGCGGCTCGCCGTCATGCTACCTACTTCAAGTATGGCACAAATAACCCCCAGGACACTATTTATGCCAAGGTCGTGGATACCTTGCAGTGGGCTTTGGAGCAGCTCAAGATCGGTGCTTCCAGCGGTCGGGCCCAAGGTCACGAAGCCGCCGAGAAAGTCCGCGAGAAGGCATCCGAGCAGACTGAGCGCGTTCGCAGTGAGCTGTAAAAGCCGGAAATGAGATTAGTTGATTGGTTAATTCTTTTTGATCCTTTTTCGGTTTCTGAGTTTCAAATGTTGGGTCTTTTGGCCCAAGCAAAGAAAGTTGAGGCAGGACGGAAGTATCTTGATATTCTGCGATGACGTTTTCCCGATCACGATGATATGACAATTCTGAATTTGGGGGCCGCTTATTAATCTCGGGTATCTTTCAATAAGTATGCTGTCAATAACGGTTTTCAAGTGTTGGTTCCTCGATGTAAACAGTAGAAGGATGTAGATGAACAAGCCACGTCAGTGATGCTTGTCCAACTGAGCCATGGAACCCCCGTTTCTAAGGTTTTAGCGTCAACGTCCCCTGTGTCACGTGACCACTTCTATTCTGGTGACATCTGCACACGCAGCAGCAGTATATAGACCTATATCGGATGGGAAAAGATGAAGTGAACACCAATCATGCTAGATATGGGCGCGTGATGATACAATATCTTGCTAAATATAGCGAATCAAAGAGGAAACCTAAACCAGCCCAAAGCTAAACATGAAACTTTTAGTCCCTGAAAGCTCCATTGTCATTACTCCACTCGGTCATCGCCCCCATTTTAATTTATGCCTGCTCCACCCGGTGATGCCATGTTGTTCTCAGAAATGGAGGTCTAGTTTTCTTTCCCTCCCTAATTATCCTCTCAAGACGCTCACCAAGCGCTGGCATCCGTGGTCAACCGTCAGACCTTAATTTCTGTGGTCCGGCTAGCCCGGCCTCTTTCATTTTCTTCCCTTTCGTCTCACCTTGTTGATCGAGGTGAGCTTTTCATTTTTTTTGTCGGACTGTTCTTACCAGCCCTATTCAAGATACTGGAATCAGTCACGTCATCGCCAACCCGATCGTCGCAAATAAGAGATGTGGTCGAAAGGAGGAATGAATCGATCGCGGGGGATGGACAACCCCACATTGGGCGATCACAACTCGTCGCACATATCGCCCTCTGCGGATTCAATACGGATAGAGCCCATCACCAAGGGCCTACCTTCGCTGCCCGAGTGAGTATTTCCCGTGACGGTCCGGATATAAATTAGTCTAATAATTCGACTAGGGGATCAGACGATGAGAACGACACCCCGACTCGTGTCAGAGAGGCTTTGGCGGTTACACATAACGGCAACGAATGGCGATACTCCGCCGTTTCCCCCATGGCGTCGCCCACACTTGAGACTGTAAATGACAGTGGAAGCAGCTTCTGTGTATCGCCGATTGATGAGTCGATTGGTTTCCCGCGCCAGCAACAAAGAGCCTCGACCGGAGAGTATTTCGCTGATGCGCAGTTGAATGCACTTTATGTTGATACACCATTGTCTCCAGCCGCAGCGCCTTCGCCTCCACGCCAAAGGAAGGTTGTTGCGTTTGTTGCAGAGCCAGAGCAAATTCCATCCGCCATAGAAAACTTCTCGCCGGCTGAGCCACCGCAACAAATCCTGGAAACGAGTCCTGGTGCACCCATTTGCAGAGATTTTGAATATCAAAAGGCTGTTCATGAACCCATTTCAGAAGAACTGAGTTCTCAACCCGTGCATGAACCTGCTTTCAGATCATTTTCCCCACCACCAATTTCTAGAGATCGCCCTCCCCAAACGCCACCTTCCGAACAGCCAAGCGGTGCACGCCAATATGTCCGTTCTGGCGAACCAACCAACCCGACTGCTGGAAAAGCTGATCATGTCAACCTGCAGAACAACACTTTTCATAAGTCGACTGGGTCAGCATCCAACCTTCTAAGCTGGGGACGCGAGCAGCTTCTGCCCATAAAGGAATTTGCCCAAGCCCGTAGTCGAAGCGGCAATTTCTACAAGAGCGAAATCCCTGTACCTATCAGAGGAAAGGAGAAAAGACGTAAGGACGGTCACCGATCGGCATCACGTGTAGTTCCTGTTGAAGCGCATACCAGACGTCCTGGCGTGAACAACGCGGGCGTGCAACTATCTCATATCGGTTTGATTCCGAGTACCGTGACGACGATCACTGCCGGTAGTCCAAAGGCGTTGCCGCAGAGACCAGCACCACGAGATGCCTATAATAAGCAATGGCGGGAACAGCGAGAGACCAAACCGTTACCAAAAATCGACACGGTAGCTGATACTCTGTGGTCCAAGCAGCCTCTCGCTGACTTTGGTGGTCCCACTGCTGTCCCGAAGCCCGACAGTCCCAGTCCACGTGAAAGCCCGGAAGATATTCCACAAGATACTATACGAGAGACTTCACGAGATAGCCCACGGGATAGCCCACAGGATAGCCCACAGGATAGTCCACGGAATAGTCCACGGAATAGTCCACGGAATAGTCCACGGGAAAGCCCACAGCCCGACTCAAGTGGTACATCTCATACAATGGACGATGCACCCTCTATCATGTCCCGCCGACGCCCAATCCCCATCTCCACGCCGGTGTCAAGGAAGCCGATCCGGAAGCCCACTCCAGCGGAGGCTGTCCGAGACTCCGATCCAGTGCCTCAGCCTCCTACAGATCCTGTGGATCGCATTCGGGCTCTGGAAACCAAACGAGACGGACTCGCACGGCGTCGAGTCAATCTGGAAACAGTGATCAAAGAGTTGACCCGAGTCATTCAACCTAACAATATTGCGTATGACCTTGCCGCCAAACAAGAAGTGAAAAGGAGCGTCCAGAGCATCGAGAATGACATTGCCGAGATCAAGAGAGAGGAGCATGAGCTTGGATTGAAGGCCGCTCGGGCCTGGAGACGATTGGATGAGAATAACAACGGGGATGGCAGCACTTTGTGGGTGAAGCGTGTCACCAGCTGATTTATCGATTGAGATGAAGAACCTCAAACGACATCTAGACCCTTGCTGTTTGTTATTCTTTTTTTCGTTTCCCAATCGTTGGTTTTTTGCGGTCTTTGAGCGTCTTTGTTTAGTTTGGATACCCGGTGTATTAAATTGCTCCTGTGACCTGTTTTCTTAGTGCTTGGTCGTTTAGTATGTTTTCGGGCCGAGTTAATGGAAGATGATCTTACGGGTTTAATTGTAGTCAATTTGAACCTAATCTATACAGGAATATACATCAACCCACAATAGATATGTAAACATCAAACCGAAACATTGTCGGTGGGTATAGCATGGGTGTAAGAATGCATTGCGCTCTCATTGGTGATAAGATTCGTTTGGATCGTGAAATGTCGAGGACCAAGTCCTTCCATGTGATATGCGCCTAGCAGCATTCCATTCCGAATTTATTTCTTGCCCGACTTCTTAATACCCTGTTGGCCAGTGTTCAAAGGACCCTTCTTGCCCTTGGCGGACTCGGCCATCTCCTTCTTAGCCTTGGCATCTAATGCGCCGAAGTGTCAGTTGAATGCTCAGGCAAGAAAAGTGTGGTGAGAATACGTACCAGCCTTCTGCTTCTCACGGAAAGCGAGCTCGTCCTCATCAAGCTCCTTCTTCTCCTTCTTTGCGGCCTTGAGGGGCTTGACCTTGCCACCTAGTGATGAAGATTAGTGGCATATTCATGGGCAAAATATCAAGGAAAGGGAGAGCTGCTCACCTTCTCTGCTAGCGCCACCCATATTTGCAGGATTTAATTGAACGTGGGAGTTGAGGGAGTTGAATGAGGGGTACGTTGATGGCGAAAGCCAAAGTTTTTTTTTTAACGGTTTATCAATGCAGGCGGGGAACTAGACAGACCGCCTGCTATATCCGGGATGGCAAAATCGGCGTATCGTCGATCCAGATCTCAGAGCAGATTGCGCAACTTCTCTCTTTCTCCATTACCTCTCTCCCCATCTACGCGTAATTCGTCCTCATCGAATTTCAACGCGCTCCGTTAATTCTCACAAACCTAGTCACTGAACTATGTGCCTGGGATAATCAAAGCTGCAAAAAGGCTTTGGTGTGAAGGCAGGCCTATCAAGCCGGTTGGACTTTCAAACATCCCTAAAGATACAATATCGCTTTTGTGCTCGTGCTAACTGAGCATCTATTCACCCATTGAAGCCTCCTCCAAAGGCCGCAAGAAAAAAAAAAGGTCTCCTCAAGTACGAAGGAAGCTTGCACCGGGTGCAGATCTGTCAGCAATGGCATCACACCAAAGGTCGAGGTCACTATCGACCCCTTCTGAGGGTGAGATCATCGAGACAGATTCTGAGTTGAAGGCAACTGCGTCAAAAATTCCTCTTAATGGCACCAGCGTTGACCGTCCCCCCAGAGCTAGTGCGCCCAGATCCCCTGCATCACGAGGCAGCCGATCACCACGCCGACGCAACTCATGGACGAGATCGCGATCTCGATCTCCCTCTCGCTCGCCGTTCCGTGAAAACAGAGATAGAGGGTATAAGCGCAGGCGCGATGATGAGTACGAGAGCTCCCGGTACGAATCCTCCCGCTATGGGTCCAGATACGACGACAGACAAGACCGAGGACCTTCTCGCCGATCCAACAAGCCTTACCACGACTATGATCGGGAAGAATCTTATGGTGATGGCCTAAGGTATACGGATGATTACGACCAACGCCAAGACAAGCGCCAGCGCACTCGTAACCGATCTCCGTATCGCGATCCACGGAAGCAGAAACGGTATGATGAGCCGGACTCAGATGCGCATCCAGCAGACCGTAATGGACGTGTTTCCTCCTCTGGTCAGGTAGTGGGTGAAAGGCAGACCCTGGCTGGCTCTCGGGATTCCAAGCTTGGTGCTGAAACACAATCAACTCAGGTGCAGCAGGCTATTCCTTCCCGTGTCCATTTTGCCGATGAGTACGTTCCGCGTTGCTGTGGTTGTCTGAAGAATCCTGAACTAATTTAGACTATAGTGTCAACACCCCTTCCTCGGACGTTGCAGAGGAATCGCAGCCTTCTGAGCCGATTGATGAAGCTGCTGCCTTGGAGGCACGTCGGAAACGTCGTGAGGCTACTCGGGCGAAGTATCGAACCCAGGCAACACCCTTGCATCTCAAAGCGGTGCACGCTGGAGATGGCGATACGGACTCCTCGACTCCTGGTACTGAGCCAAGCAGTGCACAAGATACGGCTAGTAGGTTTCTCGATCCAAAGCATCATGGATATCACTGACCTCGATTCAACTCTATAGACTCCCCATCCTTTTCCCCAGCACAGACACCCAGTCGGCAAATTGGACAAGCTTTCGCTGAATTCAACATTGGCAAGGATTCAGATCTGACCAACTCAAATTTGCAACTGGACGGTGGACCCTCAGCCGCAGATTATGATCCTACGGCGGACATGAAAGAGGAGACACGAAAACGCGATGGTAGCCAAAGCACAAGAGAAGACGTACCATCCGCAGCATACGATGAGACCCAAACTGTAAAGCAGGATGTTCTCATTCCTGATGCTCCCCCTCACCCACCCCCGCCTCCGGCAAAGGATCCTTATGATATGTTTGCAGAAGACGACGACGATATGTTCGCCGAAGAGAAGGAGGGGCAACCAAGCCATGCATCGGCATTGTCAGCCGTACCACAGGCCAAGGAGTTGGACATCAGCATGATGGACAATTGGGATGACCCCGAAGGATACTACAACCTTCGTATTGGTGAGTTGATCAACGGCCGGTACCATGTCACGCAAACTCTCGGTAAGGGCATGTTTTCTTCTGTTGTCCGGGCCACCGACTCCACGACGGGAGCCCTCGTGGCGATTAAGATTATCCGCCAGAACGACACTATGCGCAAGGCCGGTATGAAGGAGATTGGGATATTGGAGCAATTGCACGAGGCCGACCCCGAAGACAAGAAGCACATCATCAAATTCGAACGCTACTTCGAGCACAAAGGCCATCTGTGTATGGTGTTCGAAAACCTGAGCATGAATCTTAGAGAGGTGCTCAAGAAATTCGGGCGTGATGTTGGGCTAAACCTGCGCGCGATTCGGGCCTATTCTCAGCAGATCTTCCTTGGGCTGAGCCTTCTCCGCAAATGTAATATCCTGCATGCCGATCTGAAGCCCGACAATCTCCTTGTGAATGAACAGCGCAACATTCTCAAGGTCTGCGATCTAGGTTCCGCATCCCCCGCCTCCGACAATGAGATCACGCCATATCTGGTTAGTCGATTCTACCGTGCTCCGGAGATTATTCTGGGCATTCCATACGACTATGCCATTGATGTGTGGTCCATCGGATGCACCCTTTTCGAGCTGTACACGGGCAAGATCCTCTTCACTGGTCGGAACAACAATCAGATGCTCAAGTCCATCATGGAATGCCGTGGAAAATACCCGCCCAAGGTTCTCCGTCGTGGATCTCTCGCTCACCTGCATTTCGATGACATGCTCAACTTCCACAGCATAGAAGAAGACAAAATCACTGGTCGGCCTGTTACTCGTATCATGGATTTCAAGAAGCCCACACGTGATTTGAAGACACGGTTGACGGGCAAGGGCACCCGTGGAATGTTAGACGCCGATGCGAAAGAGTTGACGATGTTCTTTGATTTCTTGGATCGTTGTCTGACTCTCAATCCTGAGAAGCGTATTACCCCCGCGGAGGCACTGAAGCATCCTTTCTTGGCTCGCAAGCCGTAGTCAGAAATCAGCGGCTAGTGTTTAGTGTTTACCGGCGTCGATGGGTGATTTTACGATTTACTTTCTCCGGTAGATTTATCATGTTCCTATTGCACTGGGACTGATGATATGTCAATATATGGTGTGACCGTACAGAATTATCACTGAAATGTTAAAGTAACCGATATTGATGCAATGAGATATTTCATTCATTCTATGCTTCCATGTATACTCTCCAATCCTCCAGGATTCAGTCACTAACAGAAATAGATGACAACGAAGTATAATGTTATCGCCACATTATTATAAATAGACAGTTCCACCCGAATCTGTGACAAGGATAGATATCACCGTCGAGTTTCAAATATGATCAAATATAGATGGGCCTCAATAGACATGCGCAGGTCCCAACATGAGATCTTCCAATCATCGACCGCGATGAGATATGTGCGCTGGGGATCAACCCCGACGCTGGATGTGTGGAGGTCTCTCGAAACAGGATGTCCAAAACAAAACCCAACCCAGCAGGGTCCAGACAATGAACCGAGAGATAAACTCAACTTTCAAAGTATTGCGAATTCACCAAAAAGAAATATTCAAATCACTCATCGCCAGTATTCTTAGGATGGAATTTATACCGCGCCCAGTTTTCTCCGACCCACCAATTCGTCACATATGCTGCGTCGAAAAGCCATTGAAGCACCTCCTCGTCGTACTTTTTATGAATGACAGCGGCCAAATCCGCAAGGTTGAATCTCGAAATAGGCTTCAGCTCATTCGGGTCGGTGCTCAGATCCGAAAATCGCCACTCGACATCGTTGACGAGCGGGATAACGAGTCTGTATTGCGGTCGGGCGGCGGATCGGACCGCAAGCCATGAACCACCAGTGTTCATGACTGTGAACTGCCAATCCTGCATACCATTCTGTTCTTGGATGAGCGGGCGAATGAGTGACTGGCCTTCGTATAAAGAAAGAATGTCCTTTGCTGGCTTGGTGGATTTCTTGGAAAGAGATTTGGACTCGATAAGCAGGTCCAGGATCGTAGGGACGATCTGGTCGCTGATGACTGGGGCAGAGATCTCCAGGGCAGGTAGTTGCGGGTGTGCGAGGACGATGGGCACGGCGAAACTGCCGACGTGTGGGTTATCGTAGGGTGTGATGCCGCCGTCGTTGGGAAGCGAGAGACCGTGGTCACCGGCCATCACGAGAAGGGTTTCGTTGGCGACGCCCTTTTCCTCTAGAATACCCATGATTTCGGTGATCCATTTGTCCTGGAAGCCGACGGCATTGAGGTACCGGTTGAAATCTTCGTTATGGCCCTTGGTCGAGCCGAGAATCTGCTCGTAGGTGTTGTTGGGCATGCCCCAGGGATGGTGGGTGGTGCCGGTCAGATGGGAAATGAAGAGACGCTGGTGGTCGCGCTCGGCGTCATCGATGGCGTCGCGGATGTACTCGCGCAGTTCAGTGTCGGCGTACCCGTAGTAGTTGATTTCCTCGGATTTCACGGGGTAGTGCTTTGCTTCAGGGCTTTCGATGATCTCCTTGGTGTACTTGTCCTTGAAACCCAACACTGGTGTCAGTTTGTCCTGGTTATCATAACCTTCAGTGACCGACTGCATCCAGATTGAGTGCCAGGGCCATTTGGTGAAATCATCGGTGTCGCTGGTGATGCCCTCTTGGTTGCTGAGCATTTCAAAGACGTGGGGCAGGCAGGGCTGATAGATGTGGTGCTCCCACTCGCGGTTGAAGTCGGCAACCAATGGAGTTACTCCGCAGAGTGTACCGGCCAAACTCTTGAGGGTGTAGGTGGAAGTTGTATAAGCGTTGCTCGCGCTGAGACCCCCAAAGGCTTTGCGGTCTGCATGGAGCGTGTCGTTGTGCGGGAAACCAGACGAAAAGCCGGTCAAGAACTCGGCCGTACGAGTAAGATTGGCAATGCGGTCTTGGACCTCCTTGGGTATTTCACCATCGTCATACGTTTCCGCGATCCGATTGTACAGGAACGAGTCCTTGCGCACGGGGAAGGTGTCTGCGCGAGCACTTTCGAGCTTCAGCAGGACCACATGTTTGATCTTGACACTTCCGTCGGCGAGAACGCCTTGTATAGACTCCAGCACTGGCTGCTGTAGGTTGGAGATATGCAGGGGATTCGTCTGTGGGCTGTAGTGAACCGATTCATTCGCGTTGGGAAGCTTGGGCTTCCAATCCTCAAATCCTGGACCAGCTTCCTTGGGCATCCAGGCCCAGGACGGTGGTGTGTGCAACGAATCTTGGCCTGCTAAATAGGTGAACTGATAGGGAGGCAGTCCCGAGATATCCACCGGAGACTTCCGGTGACCGCCTTCAAAGAACGAGGCCAATGGTAAGGTTCCTGACAAGTATAGATACACCGGCTCAGACGGGCGGAGTAAGCGCAACGTCACTGCCAAGAAGACGAATCCGAGCACCAGGACCCTCGGAATTAAGCGGTCGGTGGAACGCCTATTCTCCGACGCACTGTTGCCGAGCGGATCGAGCAGGAAGTCACCCTCATCATCATCGTCGGAATCGTTCAAATAATCATCTTCCAAATGAATCTGCTCATATAACCGGGGATCCGGTAATGATGTACGTGACCGTTTTTGGAAACGTTGCAGTAGGGGTCCCACACACGGTCGCAGTCGCGTCAGCACCCAGCGACAGGGCCACGCCAAGACATGCAGAACGCCACCACCAAATCTGTGAATTGGGCGGGCCGTGAACAAGGCGCCTGCAACAAGAAGCGCTTCCCCAATCAAAAATCCGGTCAATCCGGAGAGTAGTGTCCGGAGAGCTGCGGCATCCCCAGTGAAAGTTTTGGCCTGTCGCCAGTGAATCTCAGAGCCCGTAAAGACATAGACGGAGAAGTTGGCGGCAGCCATTCCCGAGACAATCAAGCTGCATTGCGCGTTAGACTACTTCGTACAGATCCCGGAGAGACGAGATCAGAAAGGGGACACGTGAGGATTTACCTAGATGGGAGGACAATAAGTGCACATAGGGCCGCGATGAAACCTGAGGTTTTCTGCACCAAAATGCGAAACAGCAATAAGATCGCGACATCTTGAAAAAAGAACGAAGGTCCCCAGAGGATGAATTTCTGCAAGGGTAGTGAATATAGATGGGCGAAAAGATGCAGCAATTTGGCACTGAACAGGGACCAGAAGGCTAAAGCGTAGAAATAGCGTCGCGAAAAGTCCCAGAAAACCTCGAGGATCTCCAGCGTCCGGTTAGGGGACTGATAAAGTTGGTTGGCCTGGTGGCGCACATAATTCACCACACCGGCCACCTTCTTCATGATGGCATATGTCGAGAGAACGAGAGTGAGGAGAGAAGGAAAATGAGGTGCTCTCTAAGATTGAGACACGCGACCCTTAACCAAGTCAGGGTCTGGTGGATTCAATCCTTTAAGTTGATTTGTATTGGTTGGAATCCACTTGGCCCCATCCGCCAAGATTGCCAAGCTAGCAGTCAACGAGGCTGAAGGCGCGATTTCATCACTTGTTCCCAGAATATCTCCTGTCTGAGATACATGTTAGCCCCAATTTTAACCGCTTTTTCATTGGCAACGACGTGGGCATCCCAAGTCCGAATGTTGGCGCAGTAACATCGCTCTCCCGCTCGGTTCTCCACTCGTATTCGGAGGGATCCTTCTGCCCCCATCCCCCAAGTGGCAATTGGATTCATTTTCCACTTTTCCCCCTATCTGGTTCCCCCCAAATCCGAATCATGCTGGGTGCCTTGGGCTGGATCACCTTGTTGTTTGAGCCCTTGGCCGATTGGTACATTCCACCCATCCAACCTCAAGCCCGATTACGGCCCGAGAACAGACCCTGGCAAAATATCATCACGGGCGTGTACGGCCACCCGCCCCTGCTCAAGATCCACGACCGCACCGGCGATGTCAAATGGAGCTTTCGTCGGGAAGATGTTCATCAGGACCTACCTCCAGAGCTGCAGCGCTGTCTGTATGGCGGTGCCAATGATGCGACCGACATGAAATACATGCGGGGTGGTGAAAGTGTCGCCGCCATCTACAGTGACCTTGCCTTGGTCGTGAACCACACCCCGGATGACCCAACCCGCGATAAGAAAATCACTTGGGCCACTTGTCGCGATAACGAGTTTCTCTGGAATGCCCATAGTGTCGAACCGCTCCCCAACGATCTCCTCGCGGTCTCCACAACCGGCCAACGGCCTTGGGATGGGATTCTTGTGTACAACGTTAGTCTCGACAATCCTCTCGAGGACCATCCGCCCGTCTTGCAAAATATCACAGGTCTCCGCGCCATCCACGGCATGATCTGGGATGAGCAGGGCCAGATGTTATGGGCGACCGGCACCGACGCCGCCGCTGACGGCACAGACCCAATCCCAGCCCATGGGACCATCATAGGCTACCCGTTCGACGCAGCGACGGGCGAACTGCGCAAAGATGACCGGTACATTTATCGTCTTCCAAATGCGTACACCATCGAGACCGAATGGGGTAAAGGGTACCCGTGGTGGGCCGGGCCGCATGATCTCGTGCCCGTGCCAAATGAGCGCAAGTTCCTCATCTCAGAGGATCGGGGCTTGCACGCCTTTGACATTGAAAAGGGCGAGTTCTTCGCTGAGTATGAAGATGTTGAGGAAATGTATATGAAGGGCTTTGAGGTGACGACCCCTGATCGCCACGGCATCAATCACACTGGCCACTTTGAGGAGCTACCGCAGTCAGATCTGAAGAGTTTCAACTTAGCGCCGGATGGCAGCTTCATTTATGTCCAGTCACTCTGGACCAAATTCCGTGGTTTCCATACCAGTTTGGTGGTGAACGGTGCGCGGCGCAAGATCAATTTGGGCGATGAGATTTATCGGTCGCGCTGGTTTGCTGACATTGATGGATGGCCCAAGCCGAAGTAATCGGATCTGCACTGTGTACAGAAACGCTGATAAAGATCTTGGATGCGTGGGCACGCTCCAATCTAAAGCTTCGAGGCCATTTGGAGGGAAATGCGTCTGCCTAAATATCGGGACCCGTTGCACCTCAGCCTCGAACCCTAAGTCCCTTTAGGGCCGGTATCTTGGTAGCCTTGTCTGCTTTTGACTCGAGGCTAAGCCTCGCTCACTCGAAAGCCTAATCGTGGCGTGTCAGGGTCCACTGCTACAGGATCTTCAGATCCATTCTCGAGGGCCCGCATGAGTTGCGTCGTATGGCGTGCTTGATCGGCTTTGAAAGCCTTCAAAACCTCATTGCGTAATGAAAATTCGCCGGTGAGCAGAGTTGAGAGTCATCGTCTACCTTTGGGGTGTCGTTGCTATATACTCGAAAGGATCCCTTGTCGGGTGGCATTCTTATTCGTATTTGAGTTCGCCTTTGCAGCCTAGTGCGAATACGAGTAGGTATACGAGTGCGAAGCCAAGAAGAAATTTTTCCTGAAGGAAACCTTGGATAGAGTAGCACAAATAAGTTCGAAATTGGACCGGACACTTTCATACAATATAATCTCTCATGAACCTCGGAACCTTAAACCTTCTTTAGAAGCCGGTATATCCCTCTTTCGTAAGTTGTACGATGAGTGGTCGAGAAAAATGTTGCCCTAAAAACCTTTCTATCGGTATTTTATAAACGGCGAATATCAGCGGAGCTGGCGTTAAAAGACAGCCACTACCAGTGGCCGTTTTTTAATGTGGTTGTTGTGGGCTCGTCTGCGCAGCGGCATCACATTGTTGGCCTCCACAGCAAATCAACACGATACGAAATGTAGGGCTAGAACTGCCCTTCTGCGACTTCTAGAGTGCGGACATACATCGGCCTTTTTAAGGGGATCGGATGCCCTAGATTATATGTCAGATCACCTGTTGGCGGGATATTATAACAAGCTATAAACCGAACCCAGGCTGACCAACCTATCGAATGCTAAGAGGTTACAACCATGGCATTAAACACATCAATCAATGGTCAAACCCCTGGAATGCAATTGTTACAGAATCATGGCCAGATCATGCTCAGTTTCTACGTCAGAAGCATCATCAAGTCAACTATCGTTACACCAAACCTGCCTACGGGACTTGTGAACGACCAACTAAAGAGCGAATCAAAAACCCCAATGGAAGCCTCCTCAAAAAGTAACCTATACCGCTGGATTCTAGACAGCAAGGAGTTCAAAGAATGGCAAGGCAGCCAGGGCAATGACCGTCTCCTCTGAATCCGGGCAAAGGCAGAACAGTGCTCCTGTGTGGTTTTATTGAGGAGTTGATGTGAATGAAACGAGACAATGTTTTTTGAAAAGAAAAAAAAAAATGCCAGGCTACGGATACCCATATAACATTACTACGGTTTTTTATGTGACTTGATATATTTATATATTCAGTTGCTATAATGCGACCATCTCTTCCTGCCCATGTACGCAATCGATAAGGCCAAGCCGGAAAGGCGCTATTCGATCATATAAACGCGTGGAGTGCACTCCCGGCGATCTTTATAGACATTCTGGGAGACCCGGCCTTGCAGAATTATTGTGTGGTGATTGATGCGCTGGTTGAGTGGGTAAGTGGACATCCTTCTCTTCTGAATTGATCGTTCAGGTATCATCAAGTCACTCAGAGTTGTAATGGGTCGTCTCTAGTCATAATTGGCCTTTGGTCACAGAGCGCCTTGACTCTGCCCAAATATCTCACATCTCCATGAAACTGAATGAAGCGTATGTTTTGGAAGCCGTGAATGGGATCATGCAGCACAAGGTTTACTGATTTATAGAGTTCTCGACTCGGGAAATGCCGGAATTTGTATACAATTGCTGGCTCTTATCTCAACAGTCTACTGACCGATAATTGTGGATGAAATATGCATGATGATTAAAAGGCCTAGTATTATTAGTTATGATCATGAAGTCTTGTCAGAAGCCATAGCAATGTGTGGCTTGTTTCTCGCTTTACGCAACAATACAGTACCGTTATATTTATACCTCAGTCCGCAAAGGAGCCTTTGCTAAAAGAGGCGCCAAATATGGTTTTTCCTGGAGGATTGAAGCTACCTAAGCATCATATGATCTTCATGCGACATTATCGTCTTTATTATAAACACTGAGGTCCAGGACTTCCCGGACTCAGATGACAATGCCAGGTCCAGATCTCCTGAGAGCTGCATGGTATGCGTCTAGTGAAATAAGCATCTACAGACTAGTGGATATGGTCAAATTGTGGACCCCGGCCTTAATGATGCAGGATACTGTATATTGATGGCTTCCTACAAAAGAAATATAACAGGAAAAAGCGAGTCGCGGGTCCTTTTTCATCGTACTTGAGATGCATCTAGGGATTCTAGGCTCATTCAATATTACAGAATGGCAATTGAAAGCAATCCTCTACATGTTTACTAAGCATCTCTCCAGTGCAAAAGAGAGCTTCACGTAATTATGTCTTCAATACGAAAGACTCGGTTGGCTTTTGAATGATCCAATGATAAATGAAAACTGGAGTCTACATATGTCTTCAACCCTTTGAAGGGCACAGTGATGTTATCATCTTGGTTGCCCGGTCGCAATACGGACGTCTGCTTGCATCAGCATCGCGTGCTGATAACCTTGGTATATTTCTCATTCTTGAGCAGAATCAGGTAGTTGGCATTTGATTAGCGTATTTTCTTCTTGCCTCAATGTTTCTTTATTCTCAGAAGGTTCCATTTGGGGATTAGGTACTACTACTCTAATAAATGTCATGCACCTCCAGGGCTGCTTTTCTTTTCTTTGCTTTTTTCCCCCTCTTTTTTTCTACCAGATGTTGCCTTATGGCTGGAAGTATTGACTTTGAGAGTCCGTAGGTTCTCAACTCAGAATAATTGAAGAATATCAGCAAAGCTCTATCATATTTCCACTGAAGAATCACCAATGCAAATCTATGGAGACTAGCTTAGAGGAAGGGGAACAATCGAAGAATGTACAATAGGTAGCAGTGCTAAGCATTGGCTAACCACTAAGACATTCAGTGCGTACTAGGAACTCAACTAATCTCCACGAAGCAGGAGCAGAACCATTTTGCCTTGACCAACTGTTTCACATTATTCTTCTCACCGGGCCGACAGTCTACTTCGTAAATAATGATTATTCAATCCTCAGACCTCGCAGGGCACTAGACATAGTTCTGCATGTCAGCTGCTGCATCTATATTCAGCTTCGTGGCCACCCGGAACAGAGATGCCGCGGAGGCAAATGATCCTTTTGTGATCATCAACAAAAAACTGAAACTATTGAGGGGGGATAAGTATCCATTCGGGCGTACACATTTGAGTCGGTATCATATGCGGGTGGCAATGCA